TCTGCACAAAAGTGAACAATTTAGGAAGAGGAGATGCAATTTTTAGAGCTTTGCACCTCGTTTATTATAGTTACCGATTGTCGACAGCTATAAAAATCGCCTTGCGGTCCGAACAATCGTATCTCCTCTTCCCAAATTGTCCATTTTTCTGGACAAGCCGAGCGTCGATTCGAAACGACAAATAGAAAGGATAAAAGTAACTGCTCCGAAGGCGATGGAAACGGATTCGCGGAGCGCCGCGTGTCAACGGGAACAGGTTAACGGTATCGATCTCGTGGGCCGGCCGGAACGAGACGGACACCCGGTATACGTGACAGCCGTGCGTTATCCCAGGATCTAAGGAAATAAACGGTTTCCTGAGTGAAACGTGCTACCGCGGGCGTGGGCCCGGCCGGGCCCCGGCGCAGCAACGCCAGCAACAAACGGCCAGATAAAAGCACGCGTCGTGGAACCTCTTTCCGCGCAGAACCGTGGAACGATGTTCGTCCGGGCTCATAAATATTCATGCGCTTCCGTAATAAAAAATTCGTGAATGGAAAAAGGGAATTGTCCTTGGCCGGGCCGTGTCTCGCAGGAAGAATCGCTTCGGTTACGTTCACCTCCTCGTCCCTGTCCTTGGACGCTTGAAAAACTGCCGTCCACTTATGGCAGATGCGGCGACAGCTCGCCATTTTTCCCCCCTGCTCGATTAATAATCAAGGCTGCGGGTGGACGACCGCGACGAAAGCCGCATACTTCGCGCCAATTTCGAGGAAATTCAGATTCCGAATTTGTCGTTGCGCGCGTTGCACCGGCAATCGGCGAAGCCTACGCGAAACCGTGAAATCTGAAACTTTGAGAATTCTTGAGGAACGATTAGGTTTACGGAGAGTTAAGAGTTTCGATCGGACAATGTTCGGCCACAAAAATCACGCACGGAAAAAGGAGAATACAAAATAAAGAAAATATGTACGGACCGGATCGAATAAACGTACAAAAATGCACGGTGCAATCGTTGCAACGGCGAACCGCAAAAATATACGGCCGTGGTTAGAAAGTACAAGTGACGAAGAGAAAATCTGAAACGCAAAGGAGAACACGGCGGAGACTGGTTGGAAAAAAAGAGGCTCCGGCGAGAGATCACAGAACGGAATCTAGGATAACAATAATCAGATCGACGGCAGTCGATTACAGACAGAAAACGCGCGTCGTCGGCTCCAGAAATAAGGTCACATTCTCGTGTCAAGTATTACTGGTTTATCCGAGGAACTTTCGGATCAGCAGGATGCGGGTCTAGAGAGGATCGCCTTATTTATGGGGCGTTCACACGAACGCCTCGCGTACGACTTCTCGGGCTTAATGGACCGTGAGAGAGCGGACGCGTTTTCCTTCGGGATCCTCGAGCGTCGAACACGTTTTCAGCTACAGCGATCCGTCGAACGCGAACAGGAGCATCGAGTCCGTCCATCGAGAGACACTTTCGAAAATCGAATAGAAATTTCTTCGACCAGAAAACCCGATCTCGGGGGGAAACGTCGGACAGCTGTTTTCCACGGTCGACCCAGAGCCGGTTGGCCGGCTGTGTCGCGCACGACCAGCGAATTACTGGACCAATTAACCTTAATGGGTCAATACCGAGCGCGTCGACGAGTTTAGGCGTCGTGGAATTTTTATGTTTGCTCGTCGTGTACGCTAAATGTTTCGGATCGGTCGCTTTGCTGCAAATCCTGTAGCTCGCGTTTTCCCATTTTCTCAAATTTAGAAACGTTTAATCGTCGGCTGCGATTCTTTCTCGAACCTGTTTCAACTTCGATAATGCTAAATAAAAGTACACCGTTGTGTTCCGGAGAGTCCACAGAACAATCTGCCATAGGACTCGGTTCGATAGTTCCGCTGGTTGAAGCGCGAAAAATTCCCAAAGTTGGAGATCGCTTTACAAAATCAAAATCTGTCGCCAGCATTTCTCTCGGAAACTGTGCGCGATAGAATCGAACGCTTTTCGCGGCCGTGTCCGACGTTGAAAGATCTAGAGAAATGAAATTCGACTTTTTATTTGCCAAACGGGATAAGAAAGTTGAGACACGTTGAGCACCGACACCGACAAATCGGCGAGCACCGCGCGGTGGACGCAGCGACACGAGGACCAGTTCGCAGCGCGGCGCGAGAAAGTGCGAATTAAAAATCGCAACATAAATTCTTGGGGCTCGTTCGCCATGGTCCGACGACCGCCTCTCGGCGGGCTCGCTCGGGAAATCGGCACGCGGCGCTTGCATACATTACTCGAGGGGAATATGCGGCGTGGCGCGGCGGTCGGCGCGGTGACACGCGAGCCTAACAAGCCGATCGTGACGTACGTGACAGCCTGGAAGAACTATCGGGATTACGGTTGTGTCTCGTCGGGCCCGAGAAATCCTGTCGTCACCGTGAAAGTTCCCGAGAGAGAGAGAGAGAACCCGCCTCGGTCGTCGCGCGCCGCTGGAAAAATCCGCGGTTTCACGCGCGACACGCCTGGAAAAGCCGGCCGCGCCGCGCCGCGCCGTGTCTCTCCGAAATCGTCCAACCCATTTTCTAATTCGAACCGCATTCGCGGCCGAACCAGTCCGACGACGACGACGACGACGACGGTGAATCACGTTTCACGGTCAGACACGATCGTCCGCAATTAGCCGCGAGATTTTCCTGGAACGGCCGCCGTTACGAAACCCCGCGTGAATCACGATCGCGGCCGGTGAAACCGGCATCGCGCCGCCACCTTTTCGGCTCGTCGCGTGCACCTGCTTAGGGGTTGAATCGTCACGCGATCGTCGTGGATGTTTCCTCCCCTTTGGAAAAACGTCTCCGTCGAGTCTCTTCGTTAACCGTTAACGCGGTCGTCGACGACTCGGCATTGAAATTCGCCTGCACAATTTCGCGCCGATTCCGCGTCAACCGAAAGCGCGATTCGATCGAACGATCTCGAGGGGCCATCCTTCGATCGCCGGAGATAACCGGCGGAGATCCAACCACCGCCCACGCGATCTTTATTCTATGTTCGGTCTCATCGATCGGCGAGCTCGCGGGGGAACGTTAGAACGGGGTTGGCATTGAACGTAACCCTTCGAGTTCCTCTATCTTTAGCCATCGGATCGATGCGAACATGGGAATAATCGCGGGCTATTCGCGAGCCATCAGCTGCTCTCCGCGAGAGCACCAGGTGGGGGCGTGCGTGTCGCGTGCACGGTGTGCAACGTGTGCAACGCGTGCATGGCGGTTCCCGGTGGAGCAACACGCGGCCCACGCTGCGTTGTCCATCTGTGCCGGCGCGCCGGAATGCAGGTGAAAGACCCCGACGCCAATTTGTCGGTATCGGGGCCGAGCACTCCAGGAATCCGGTCGATCGCGTCCTTTCGATAACGAACGCGAGCCGCGAACGTCCTTCGGGGCCGCTGATAAGACATTCCTGCGTCGGCGTTTTAATGGACGTGCCCCAGGCCGATAGTTTTCCGGCCACTTTGTACGCTTCGGCGCGACGCGCCGCGACGGAACCGGCGCGTGCTCGATACCGCTGCCGAGATAATCGACCGACGATTGCGCAACAGCTTCCGGCGACCGACGATCGCCGTCGATCCACCGACCCACCGACGATCGATTTTTGCCCTCGATTCCTCGGTAATTCAGGATTCTTGGGTACCCGGTGCGCTTCGCGTCCCGAACGTGTGAAACTGAAAGTCGCTCAGTCGAGGATGCTGTGCTTTTACAGCATAATGACGACGATTTTTCCGGAGCTCATTCCAGGAGTATCGTTAACGAAACGTTTCTTCGTCTGCATTTTCTCTCGACCAAGATTTGCAGCATTCCGCAAGGTTCGAATAATCGAACGAAACGAGCTGCAAGGCTCGAACAATCGTGTCTCCTCTCCCCGAATTGTCCATTTTTGTGCGCAATCCGAGCGACAATTAGGGAGACATTTCTGTATCGTGTTTCAAGTTAGTTCGGAGAATGTCGAGGGGGCGAGAAGGTTAATTAAAGATTCGTACGGGGGTGTAGACCGAGGGCGGAGCCTTCCCCCGCGAGGATTAATAAAATTGTCGCGCGTCGACGACAAGCATCCCCGAGCAAACAAGAAGCCCTGACGTAGAATTTCTATCTTTGGGCCGAGTGTGAAAATAGTCACGACTGACCGGCGCGGCGCGGCGAGGCTTCGTGGGCGTGCCTCGGTACCATTTCGAGCGGTAATTACTCGGCTGAATAGAAACCGGCCTAAGGGAGACCACAGGGTGTCTTCGTGCGACACTTGGGTCCATCTTCGCTCCCACGCTGCTCGCTTCGATGACGTCAATCTCCGGATCGTGTGTGCCCGGACTTACGTGTGGTTTACCCGTTTTCGCGATTGTACCGGGTCGCTCGGATATCCGCTCGCACGTAAACCGATCGGCTCAGCCGTGAACCTTCGCCGATTAACCCGATTAACCCTAGCATTTCCATGAGATCCGTCAATCGAGAAATACAGGGACGACGTACCTGTATTTTAGACCAACGTACCCTTTGCTTCGCGCATACTAATCGGAATTGATCTCGACGAGCTGCTGTCTCAATTTACCAAGAAACTCCCGGTTAATTAAATTTAGTCTCCGAAGGATCCTTGGGCGTCAGCTAAAGCGGCGAGATCGACGTAGGGTCAGAGGCAACCCCTTCGGAAAATTCCAATCTCGCTGGAATTCCAAAAGAAAGAAAGCCTGTATTTACGAGCTCGACCATATATCCGAGCAGTCAACTATGTTTACACGTTATAAATGTCAAGAACAGTGTCCGCGTTCAAAGGGAACGTGTCCGTTGGCCGTCGACGTGAACCGAGTCGCACGACATCGTATAAATTATGCACAGTCCGAGGGGTACTTTTAATTAGATATGATTGGGGGCAAAGGTCGCGGGGCCCGGTATCCTCAATTACCCTGCCAGGAGCGATCAATAAGTCCGAATCAACGTATCGCTCTGTCCGATTGATCCTCATTAGACCGGCAATTTTTTTTTGCTTGTTCCAGGCGAGCTGTACGTGGAGGATCTAGGCGAGAGACGGGTCGTGTCCATCAGGATGGGTTGGCTGTGGGTCGAGGGTACGCCGATGAGGCTGCCCCTGAGGGCGTTGAACCTGAGACAGGCTGTGCCCAGTCTGTGTCAGCCGCACGCGCTGGCCCTTGGCTTCACCCTAAGCAACTCGCAGGATCATGCTCTTGCCACATTTTGGGTAAGTTCGACCTTCGTCCTGCTTCTACGAGAAACGACCCATGCTCGCGTTCTCCGTGGATTTCCATGGATCTTGAAACGAAGGTAGCTGTCGGAATGATTCTTCGAACGAAGGCGGAATAGACCGGATTAACCCCTAGGCTGCTGTGGGCGCCCATAGGCGCTTAGGAATTTTGCGTTTGTGACACCCAGAGCGCCTATAGGCGCAAAAATACATCCCTATCCAAAAGTTCGCCGTTCTCGGCGTACATCGTAACTCAATTTCTGCCGTACGGTACGACCGACGCGTCTCAAAGTCTGCCGTAGTCAAGGGGTTAAACGATCTATAATATTTTGGTGGCAAAGACGCGCCGGATAAGCGCGGATAACGCGGCGAATCGCAGCGCGCGCAGAGAAGTACTTGGACGATGAAACGTTGGGATCTGGAGGAGGAAGTCGAGGAGCCGGTATAGGCGAGACAGTATAATCGCTGCGGCACGCAATGTAATCGCATGTAAATGACTTTTATCTGCGGCACGATCCGTTTCCTTGCCCGTAAACACTTTCTCGCGCCGCGCCGTGCCGCGGCCTCTACCAGGCTCCCGTTTTGTTGAACGCTGTAACTTCTAATTACGGCCCCGCCGCCGCGCCGTTCGATTTCCAGATCGTTATACAATCCCGCGGCCACGATCCTAGTCCCGGTCTCGATTCCTAGACCGCGCCAAAAATTTCGTTTCGTCCGACTTTCTCCGCGCTGCTTTGCATAATGTGTCTCGGAACCGCGCTCGATCCAACGCGGTTCCGTTCGACGACGATCCGGACAATTTTTTGAAACGTTCACGGACGATGGTTCCTCCTTTTTTTAACATCCACGAACGTCTGAAAAATTTCCGGGAGTCCACGCGCACCCTTGAAACGTTTATATTCTTCGGGGAACTTTAGATCGAATATCGCTTGGCAATTTTGGTAGTTTTTGTTAACTAAAGTAATTAATAATTGTTGATCAGGTGATTTTGAAGCAATTGCAATTATCAAGGAATCAGGGGTCAACGGGTAGTCGAAATTTATCTCTTTGCAGCAAAGTTCGAGCGTCGAGAGTTCCTTGACAGGTACAATTTTTAATATATTGTTTAAACAAAACGATATACGCACGGATCGTTTAGGCGGGTATGTTCTCCTTTCAAAAACACACTGCGAGCAATTTTTCTTTTCCCCCTGGCTGCAATAGTTCCCGAGATATCCGCGAAAGAAGTTAAGCAGGGGGTTCCAACCCCTAACTTCGAGGCGTCGGTTTCTCCGCTTTCCCTTGGTCGATTTCAAAAAAGAAAAAACACGTGTCGGTTATTTTCCGACGCTGGTTGCAAAAAAAATTGTCCGGACCTCGGTTTCTATCGCATTTGAAATCGACTCGGCCTTTCGAGAACCTTATCGACCAGATTCCCAGGAAGAACTACTTCCGACGTGTTCGCAGCGAGGCGGATAAGAGAGGCCGATGGCTATCGGCGACTTCCCCGAAGGTCGATCGGATAAGATAAAGACGAATCGGCGAAGGACGCGTCCGAGATGATGTAAGCCGCATCCGCGCGTGATTCGTAAGGTAATAAGGTCAGTAGGCAAGGTTAAAATCCGCCGGCGCGGTCTCGGCGATAAACGGACGCGTGGGAGATCCGCGCGCCATTCTCCCGTGACCCGGCATTGTCAAGGAGTCCCACCATCCTCCTTTCCTGGCGAAGTTCCTTCGCCCCGTTCGCTTAGTCACCGAAAGGACGTCCGCGCCGATCGTCTCGTAATATCTTGATCGTGCCGGGGATTGGATTGCCTGGCTGCTTTCGGAAATCCGACGATTGGAACAGTCATTTTCGAAATTGCTTCTGTTACGAAGCCTATCCCATCCTCCTCCGAGACAATAGACCGCTCGGAGAGGTTCTGCTACCATTGGATCGCATTGTCGAAGCCTCGCGTGGGAGTATTCCTCTTCCTCTCGATCCCACGATCCGGGATTTCGAACATTCTCCTCCGTCGGCGTTCGAGGTAGCCGACGATCCACCGTCGTCCACCAAACAAATCCTGATCGATCTCAAAGATTCGACTTTCCGTCTTGCAGGCAGACACAGAGCCGATCTACTGGTCCTGGGTGCGAGCGATCGCGGCGGAACTGGTCAGGCAGACCCCGTTTCGAGCCCAGCGCTGCCTCAACTTCCTGGAGATCCTGACGATCTGCCCCAGGGGGCCGGTCCCGCTGCCGGACAGCCCCACGGAGTCCCGAAGACGTTCCCGAAGCGAGCTGCGATGCTGGCCGAGCGACTCGCCCACGGAGAAAGACGCTCGGACCACCGCCACGATCCTGGAGGACTCCCGGAGAAGAGCGAAGAGCGAGCTGAGGGGATGGTCGAGCAGCAACTCGAGCGACGAAGACCTGCTGGGCGAGTTCCGCAGCATTCCTGCGATCATCGCGAAGGAGCAGCCCGTGACGAGGACCTGGGGTTGCAGCGAGAGCAGCGAGGGCAGCGACGACAGCCTACCTTGGAGCGGAGTTTGCCGGTCCAGCGTGGACTCGGTGGACTCGGCGGTGTCTCTGCCGGAGCCGGAGACCAGGGAGCAGAGGATCCAGCGGTACAAAGAAGCCAGGCGACGGGAGAACGAGGCTAGGAGCAGGAGGGTCCTCGAGGAGGACGCCAGACGAAGGAAAGCGAGAGCTGCCGAGGAGAACAACAACGACATCCTGAAGACGTACGGGTCGAACAGGTCCAGGAGCAGGATTTACTCCGGCAACGACAACGACGACCTTCGCCTGACGTCCCCGAAGAAGGACGAGGTTCTCCACGACGTCTCCAGGCTGATCAGCACGAGGAACGAGAAGAACGTGAGCAGGCTGCCTCCGGTGAAACCCACCGAGTCCACGGTGAGGTTCGAGGACGACCAGCGCAACGAAGACGACAAGAGGAACAACAACAACAGCAGCCCGAAGAGCGGCTCGAGCCCAGGGATTCTCAGGACGGACATCGGCGAGAGGAGGAGCAGGGCGAGGGAGAGAAGAGTGGTCAGGAAAGAGGGACAGCTGCTGACCCAAATCGCGAGCCCGACCGTGGAGACTCTTCAGGAACGCAAGGAGCGGCTGGCGCAGTTGTCCTCCAGGATACCGGTGCCGCGACAGGCCAGCCAGACCTCGAGGCTGCCGGAAGTCGCCAGCCCGACCGGTCTCCCAAGGTCGTCGACTTCTCTGACCGTTTTGACCGAACCGCCTTGCGAGGAGGACGTCGCCAGGCTTCTGGAAAGGTGCCAGAGGGTCGACCACTACGTTCCGGTCAGGGAGAAGCTGACGCTGTTCGAATCCTTGTCCAGATTGGGCGGCAGGCTCGCTAGAAGTACCGAGGACCTGGGCAGGTCCTCGGCGAAGCCCAGTCCCAGGGGAAAACAGCGGGCCAGGTCTCTTCACGACCTGAACAGAGGGGCCAGGGCGGTCCCTGTCAGGGAGATGTGCAGATTCTTCGAGGGCGACGTGGAGCACGACACCGGCGTGAAGGTTAATCTTGCCAAAACCAGGTTCAGCGACCCCGTCACGCCGACGAGGAGCACGTGGAAGGACGCGAGTTCGAGGGCCAGCGAGGCTGCGCCGTGTGTAAGGTCCTCGGCGAGGAAAAAACATTACTTCAAGTAGCGATCGTGTTAGGTGCAGAGCGTCCTGGTGAATCCTTTTTGCAGCTTCGTGGCCGATTCCATCGGCGCATCGATTTCGCGCGGACACTTTTGCGGCAGCCTCGAGGTTTTGCGAGAAAGACTGAAGGAGAAGCTTCGGCCGGCTTATTGCGACGGCCTCGAGGCTCTGTCGACGGTGTCTCGACAATTGCGATTATATGCTCGAAGTCGAGTCGAGTTTCGATGCGAGAAATCGAAGGAACGGATATTTGTAGGTCGTGTGCGACGGAGAATGAGTGGGACGCTTGTGGATAATTGCTTCGAGGATGTTCCTAGGAATCGGCTTGATTGTTTTCGTTTTTTTTTATAAAATGTTGGAGCTGTTTGTTCGTTTCGTAGCAACCCCGTGCTGTCTTAGACTGGAAGCAGTCTGCTCGCGGAGAATCGTCGCATTCGTGTCGGGAGAAAGTCGCTGCCCGGAGCAGCTTTTTTCCTGGCAGCGCACAGGAGTCGATCCGGGCTCGATTCTCGCCGCGGCTCGAGTTAAATCGGCTGACCAGTGTCCTCGATCATCGGGGAACCTAATCGCAATCGATTCTTCGCGCTTCGTTGTTTCTTTTTCGGCAATATTTCTGCGAACGGAGAACGGTCTCCAAGACTTTGGAGAAACATTGAATGGAAAATTGTCTTTGATACAAAGGCAGGTGGTTAAATTCATTTTCTTGTTCGGCGTTTTCTTTGTTGTTAAATCTTAGCTATTTATTTCGATTCCGCGGAATCGTGAACGTGATCCGACAGCACGTGGATGGTGCACGCGCGTGTCGGATCGAAAAATCTAGAGTGAGAGGGGAAGGGAGGGAGAGCGAGAGAGAGGGAGAGAGAGGCAATCGGAGAAACCGGTAATATCCATTCACCGAGCCATCGCCGCGATCTTGAACACCTGTCGAACGCAGCTCGCAGATTTTCGAGCATCTTAGCTCCTTTACTTTCGGCAACTCGATCTCTCGATTGTTTCCCGACTGCGGCGACGCTCGATTTTCGCTCTCCTCGGTGTAATCGATGATATCCGTATCGAGGTATAAATTACAGGTTACGAGGAGGAGCGAGCAAAAATCGTTTTGGAAAAATTAAAATCGATGCTGTTGGACCGTGGACGTTCGCTGGCATAGAAAGTCTCTGAATTTTTCGTTCCGGATCTTACAAGATCGACGAACGAAGCCTCGAAAATTTGATAAAGAAATTAATTCATATTTAGCAGGTTCTATTCGAGATCTTTGAGAAGGATCTGTTTATTTTGCGAACGTCCGTAGTTGAATCGAGCAATTTTAACGTACGCCGCGCTGCTAAAAATTAACGCAATCGAGCTACGAATTGATTCTGAACGCGGACGAACGATCAAATTCTCTTGTACAGTAAATTCTCCTTAATTGACGCTCTTATTGAGCGCAGAAATAGACAACTTGGGAAGAAGCGATACGATTATTCGAGCCTTGCGGCTCGTTTTTATAATTGTTGGTAATCGGTAGGTGTAAAAGCGAGACGCAAGGCTAAAATAATCGTGTATCTTATCTTTTCAAATTGTTCACTTTCGTGCACGATTTGAGCGTCAATTAAAGAGAATTTATTGTATCTGAAAAATTCGTGCGAGGTAATCGCGTTGCAGCGGACTAGCAGATAATTGATCGAGACGAGTTTTGCCAGGGGAATATCTGTCGCTCGAATTTCGAGCATCCGTTTCGAGGACCGACTAACGTCAGCTTCCGGTCGTTTAGAATCGGGACGATCATTTCCGTTCCCATTTCCCGTGCTCTCTCTCTCTCTCTCTCACTCTCTTTCTCTTTCTCTCTCTTTCTCTCTTTCGCTGTTCCCCTTTTCTCTTGGCGTTCAATCAATAAATAAATCCCGTCGGCCGGGTCCCTTAAATCCTTAGCAATTTCCACGGACGGATTACTACGGCGAAGCTGAAGAGGGAGCTCGAAGGACGATATTAGACGACGACGCAACAATCCCGTTTCGTTTTTATGGAAATTACGCTGGCTGTCGTCGCGATCGCGACAGCCTCGACAGGCGTTAAAAAATTACGTTGTTCAACCAAGTGCCAAAAAGAAAAAAAAAAAGAAAAGAAATAAGCTAAATGTTTTACGTTTCTCGCGATGAAACGAGAGGAGTCTGTATAAAATCGAGGAAATGGAAGTGTTACGGATATTTGTACATATTATATTGTTTTGTCTAGGACGTAGACGAAGGTTAACGAATTTTCGTTGAACAGAAAAACACTGGAGATTCATTATTTATTGTACACGCGTAGAATGAAATCGATACCGTATCGTAGTCACGTTTTATTCTCTACGGAGATTCGATCGATTTCCGGCGATTTTTCTAAAACAAATCGAACTCTGTTGGCAAAAGGTTTCGATTCGCGTCGATCGAAGACGCGCCACCCTCGCTGTCTGCCCCGCAACCCCTTCTTAATTTTCGTATCGTAGTATGCATAGAAATTGTGTACGATCGTGCGACCATGCGCGCGGCGGATCGGTGTGCTTTACGTATAAAATTGTAACCCGTCGGAGTAACGTTAACATTAACAATCGTCGATGAAAATAGAATTATTTAAACGTTGGCGGATCGATCGAGCTTTGTAAAAATGTCGAACCTGTCGATGCTAGATAAGAAAGAACGTTCGAGAACAGTTGATCTCTTGATGAATATTAGCAACAGTGTAAAAAGAGTTCAGAGCTTAAAGTAGAAGAATTGTGCGGCGGATGTTCACCCGTTTCAATGTCTGTCTGTGCGGAATAATAAAGCAAATGTTGGAATGATATCTCCTGTCGCTGATGTACGTTCTTCCGATCAACGATTCTTCATCGTCGCGAGCCGAGTCTGACGCGATTGTCGGACGCAGAAACCGAACGCGAAAGCGTGTTTAATTAAAAAAAAACATAACAAATATAAAATACGACGCAGACCATCCGACGGAAACGTTAAATTCAACGAATACAGCGTTCTGGAATAACGAAACCAGTTATAAGAACTACTGACTTTACCATCGATCCTCTTTATTTTTCAAATAATTTTTAAGAAGATTATTTAGAATCGAACGGAAAGTATTCGATCCATCCTTCCATTGGAAATCGCGTTAGGCCATCCAGAGCACCTCGATCCACTCCAACCATCCATCCACGAGACCATCCATCACCAGCAATCGATTTCCCTTCGAGGACCAATTTTTCCACCCCTCGAATTGCACAGATATCCACGAACGGACACCGATAGACGACAGGATCGCGAAGATGGATCGCGGCCCGAGAAAATCCGACGACCCCGAGGCGAGGTTCGATCGCAGTCGCAGACCTCGCAGGTCTCGAGCAAACAGAGCGAGTCGAGGAACAACAACCCCTTGCAGCTCGGACACACCTTATCTCCGCTTTAATACCGTCGCGAGGAAACGCGATACACGAGCGGGCACGGCGGAGCTGCTTACACGGCAGAGGAAGAGGGCTCGTCTGTAAAAATCGCGTAATTCCGAGTGGTCGAACTGGGCGAGGGGACGTGAGAAGTCATCCGAGGGGCAAGGGGGTTGTCGTGGACCTGATGAAAAAATGGAAAAACTCCGAGGCAGACGTTGTTCTGCGGAAACCCTGTAGAACCGGTCGATCGCCGAGGAGAGAGAGCTCCTCCGGTCCCTCCTGACGCAGAAGATCCGAAAAGAAGAAGACCCTTAACGTCCCTCCGCGCTCCACGCGCTGGCGACTTCGCGAACCAACCCTCGAAGAGATCCGGAGATCCGCTCATCCGTTCGTAGAAATAAATTTGCACGCGAGTAAATATTACGAGCTTCGTCGCGGCTCACCGCGATATTTCTATTTACCATTCACGCGTTTGTTCTAATAAAAGGGACGAATAAAATGGCGGTTACATAAAAGTGATTGTCGTTAGAAAGTCGAGCGCCCGTGGAGGCCTTGGCAATTCTCACTGCCTTCTTTTCCGCTCGCCCTACCCCGGCAGCCTAACGATCCGCGATTTGTTAGAGCTCCACTTTGTTCCACAATTTACACAGCGGGTTAGCATAGTACGCAATCATTCATACGAGGATCTTGCGTACATGTGGAGCACTTGTCGATCCTTAAATGGCCGGCTGCCATTTGTCGGACTGCTTCGAATTGGCAAATGCATCGGGACTTTTTCTTGCGATTTTAGATGAATTTTCTTCCGTTCGGGTTTTCCGATTGGCATTATAAATCGATGCTTGGCTCGTTAGGAGCGGAGATTTTCTTGAAATACCGAAAGCATGTTCCTCGGTGACCCAAAGTCCAATTAAATTTATATTTCTTTGTTGTAATAAATCAGCCATTGATATTTGAGCCGTTTATTTTGAAAGTGGCATAAGTCATTTTGTTTTTAAGTCGATATATTTAAAGGTTTGCGTTTGAACACGTTTAAAAATATGGATGCTAACTTTCGAGAAGATTTGTTATCTCAGGATACTGATATTTTTCTCAGTATAAATAATTTCGTATAAACATTAAAAAATCGCCACTTTTCGTTACGGTAAAGTGACTTATGCCACTTTCAAAATAAACGGCTCATTTAGCGAGACGTAGAATAGCTAGGAGATGAAAAGAGGGAGATTGGAGGATTCAGCCTTGTTTTGAAATCTGCTTCGTCGTCTATCTAGATTCACATCCCTTCGCTACAATAAATAATCTGCCACTCGGTACGCTATAGAAGAAAATTGGATGATTTTAGCTGCGTCCGCATCGGAATTCGCTCGTGCATCGATGAAAGACACGGGCGACGGGGCGCGACGAAGCGTCGACCATAAATCGNTCCATTGGAAATCGCGTTAGGCCATCCAGAGCACCTCGATCCACTCCAACCATCCATCCACGAGACCATCCATCACCAGCAATCGATTTCCCTTCGAGGACCAATTTTTCCACCCCTCGAATTGCACAGATATCCACGAACGGACACCGATAGACGACAGGATCGCGAAGATGGATCGCGGCCCGAGAAAATCCGACGACCCCGAGGCGAGGTTCGATCGCAGTCGCAGACCTCGCAGGTCTCGAGCAAACAGAGCGAGTCGAGGAACAACAACCCCTTGCAGCTCGGACACACCTTATCTCCGCTTTAATACCGTCGCGAGGAAACGCGATACACGAGCGGGCACGGCGGAGCTGCTTACACGGCAGAGGAAGAGGGCTCGTCTGTAAAAATCGCGTAATTCCGAGTGGTCGAACTGGGCGAGGGGACGTGAGAAGTCATCCGAGGGGCAAGGGGGTTGTCGTGGACCTGATGAAAAAATGGAAAAACTCCGAGGCAGACGTTGTTCTGCGGAAACCCTGTAGAACCGGTCGATCGCCGAGGAGAGAGAGCTCCTCCGGTCCCTCCTGACGCAGAAGATCCGAAAAGAAGAAGACCCTTAACGTCCCTCCGCGCTCCACGCGCTGGCGACTTCGCGAACCAACCCTCGAAGAGATCCGGAGATCCGCTCATCCGTTCGTAGAAATAAATTTGCACGCGAGTAAATATTACGAGCTTCGTCGCGGCTCACCGCGATATTTCTATTTACCATTCACGCGTTTGTTCTAATAAAAGGGACGAATAAAATGGCGGTTACATAAAAGTGATTGTCGTTAGAAAGTCGAGCGCCCGTGGAGGCCTTGGCAATTCTCACTGCCTTCTTTTCCGCTCGCCCTACCCCGGCAGCCTAACGATCCGCGATTTGTTAGAGCTCCACTTTGTTCCACAATTTACACAGCGGGTTAGCATAGTACGCAATCATTCATACGAGGATCTTGCGTACATGTGGAGCACTTGTCGATCCTTAAATGGCCGGCTGCCATTTGTCGGACTGCTTCGAATTGGCAAATGCATCGGGACTTTTTCTTGCGATTTTAGATGAATTTTCTTCCGTTCGGGTTTTCCGATTGGCATTATAAATCGATGCTTGGCTCGTTAGGAGCGGAGATTTTCTTGAAATACCGAAAGCATGTTCCTCGGTGACCCAAAGTCCAATTAAATTTATATTTCTTTGTTGTAATAAATCAGCCATTGATATTTGAGCCGTTTATTTTGAAAGTGGCATAAGTCATTTTGTTTTTAAGTCGATATATTTAAAGGTTTGCGTTTGAACACGTTTAAAAATATGGATGCTAACTTTCGAGAAGATTTGTTATCTCAGGATACTGATATTTTTCTCAGTATAAATAATTTCGTATAAACATTAAAAAATCGCCACTTTTCGTTACGGTAAAGTGACTTATGCCACTTTCAAAATAAACGGCTCATTTAGCGAGACGTAGAATAGCTAGGAGATGAAAAGAGGGAGATTGGAGGATTCAGCCTTGTTTTGAAATCTGCTTCGTCGTCTATCTAGATTCACATCCCTTCGCTACAATAAATAATCTGCCACTCGGTACGCTATAGAAGAAAATTGGATGATTTTAGCTGCGTCCGCATCGGAATTCGCTCGTGCATCGATGAAAGACACGGGCGACGGGGCGCGACGAAGCGTCGACCATAAATCGTAGAATCGAAAAACGCGTGACTCGGCGGTTAGTTCAGGTTTACGATCGTGCGCGCGTTCCAGGAGCTGGTTCGTTTAAGGTCGACGAAAAGGGGCTCGTTGCTCGTGCCGGCTCGGTCCACTTTCACGCGGACTACGCTCGCGAAACCGGGAATACTCCCGATACAATAATTTCACGGTGCTGCGTCGTTGCGCAAGCCTCTCCTTTTCTAAAGTTCATCGCGGCGATCCTCGCCCGCGATCTTACGAAAAAGCCGCGCTAATTAGCCGCGGGCCGCGTGCCGGCGACGATTGTGCAGCGGGAGGGTGAGAAAAATCGGCGGGACAAAGAGGTGCGTGCGTGATTCCGGTACGCGTCCGGATTCATTGTTCCGATATACCACGGATTCGCAGACTGTTTTCGCGGGTTCGTTAAAACGGTGGGTAAATGTTCTGGCACAATAGCAACGAATTAGACGAGTTTATAATCGAGTTTCGCAAACCGGAAGTTGGAGGGACGATTTGGCAAGATGCTACCTGCGGAACAGCTGCCGAATGTCATCGAGATATCTTCAACCGATCGGCCTCTTCGACGCAGGATCGAGAGTCGATTAGATCATCGTGGACCATCGAAACTGCCCGAATGTCTTTATAATTTCACGCTTGAACTGTTCGCTTTTTTTAACGAATTGTTTTCCATTTTGCCTATCATCCTCGACTCGCGATTTTATACTCTTTTCTCCGACTACGAACATTCCTGCATCGTTCCTGTTCCAAAATCATGCGCGAATCCGTGATCCAACAACGGCAGATCTGCTCGCATTTCATATTGCAACAGCTTCGCATAAATTTCCAAGGAATCGTTTCGCACGAACATCGTCGAATAGGCGTGTAGAAATCGCCGAACGAAGCGAACGCGCGACGCATATTTATCGGAGTTGCACGGGGGACACACCTGCGGCTAGCAATTTGTTCCTTCGACGGCCGTGCTCGCTTTGTTGGTCGGCGTCACCCTGCACCGATTCCGTTCGTTCATTTTTTCTGTTTCGCGGCGCGGCGTTGCACCGGTGTCCTGCGTGCACCTTGCGCCGCGTCGCGCAGCACCCAGGTGACCCGCAGGTATCCGACTATTCGATCGAAAACACGGGACGAGGTCGTCGACCGTTTACCGGGTTTCGTGCCGACGCGACGAGCAAGAGCTTTTGCTCGGATCGTCGACGGACCGCGGTGCCTTTCGTCGCTGCCGATCAGGTTCTCGCTTCTCGCGTTACGTCGATCGCGTCCTGCGCGCGGTTCCACGTCGTCGGGTG